AAACAACTGCATTATAAAGACAGAGACTATCATATCTACTATCAATTTTGAAAATAGAGTGCAGTAAATTACAATCATGACATGATATAAGTACTCGAAACTAAGACGTTAGATTTTATAGGCAAAATCATGCTGTATAAGGTGCCCTCCCAAAAAAAAAAAAAAAAAAAAAAATCCCTGAAGTACTGCTTCTGGACACCAGAGGGCAGTGGTGGCTGTACAGTTATCACAAAGGCCCCTGGCACAGCACTGGCCTCCCTGTAAACCTCCCATTCTGAGTCTCGCCAGGCTGCCTCTCTATGTGTGCTTCTGGCTTGCTGGGTCGCACTTCAGCCCTGGCAGCGCTGAAAGGGCGGACAGCCTGGCACGTTTTACCTCCTCTGCCTTCGCTGTCCGCAGGCTTCACCTGGATTGGCCGGTTCATCTGAAACACAGATGACAGAAGAGCATGATTCCAGCGGATCACATGACCACGGTGACGTTCGATGCGCGGTGCCGCCACCGCGATGTCATGACACTGTATTTCACAGGTTACTGATGCCACCAGGTTATATAACAAGGGCATAATCATCTCTGCTGCTGCACATGAGTCTGTCTGGTAAACACCCAGGGGAGCCCAAGGACCCCCGCTTTCTACTCTTGGGTATTGCCAGCCTCCCCTCACCCCTTCACATCTTCTCTCTCACAGGATAACACGCTCAAGCGGGATTGGGGGAAGGGGGGCAGTGAGATTAAAAATGCCGGCCAGCTGATGTGGATTACGGCACTGCCCAGGATTGAAGTGGTGGGGGGCAGGAGAGGTTATAGGGGCAGAGAGAAAGCAAGGGAGAAGCAGAGAGAGAGAGGAAGAGAAAGAAAGAGAGAGAGAGAGAGAGAGAGAGTGAGAGAGAGATGGTGATGGGTAAAGAGCAAGACTGGAGGTGGAGAGGTGGAAGGGGGTGTGGCTACAGAAATTCTGAGAGGACACAACTTTAAGAGGAGAAATAGAATGACAGGAAAGAGGATGACAAAGACGGGTAGGGCACTGTCACACAAAAAAAAGAGGAGGGTCTGGAGCGTGGGATGAGAGCGGACGAGAGGGCAGCGGATCTCATCCGTTTCGCTCCGTCGTGACTCGCTCGGCGTCGAAATGCCACGAGCGGTAGCGACGCAGAGAATGAGTCACGGCGACCGTGCACCGCTGAGTAAGGCCGCTCTAGAAGTGGGGGAGGGGGACCCAGACGGCAGCAGTTCCAGGGACACGGTGAAGCCGGCGTAATGACGCTGTTAATTAGGCAGCAGGCGTAATTAGAACAAGGCACTGATCGATAGGCCTGATTGATAAGCCATAATCTGTCAGCACAAGGTGGTATTGATGGAGGCTGCCCCCCACCCCCCGAGGACTTCGCACCAACCCGTGTGCCGAGTCTGAGATGGACGCCGACACTTGGATAAACACACACACACTGCTAGGAGGTCACCTGATCCAGAAACCAAAAAGGGAAGAATGTTAACCAATCACAGCTCAGCATGACAGGGGAGACTCCGCCTTCACAAGTATCTCCAATAAAGGCCCAGTAGCTTTCCACCCCGACAAACACAAGATACGGCTGCCCTCCACTCTGCTGCTCGACAGGCTTGTGTGAGGAACCAGCTCCTCTCAGAATGTCCTGCTATCAGCATCTTCATCAAAGATGTGGAGAGCCAGACAATGGTGTGGGGGTACGCCAGAGGGCCCATCCCTACACGCTCAACCTGACACGCTTTCTACACACTCATCTTCCTGTCTCCCACTCTCCGTACACTATACACCTCCTGTTTATTAGCAGTGTGTGAGACCTTCCATAACTTTGATTCATTCCCTCCATCACTGGCTTCTTAAGTTCTTTGTGCTCCCAGTGGTTTTGCTGCATTTCCTGGTGCTCCATTCAGGCATGTCGTATCAAGGGTCGGTCTGGGTGCACATTCACTGTATACATAACACAGCCCGGCATCAGGCTCCGCTAAAAAGCAAGTGTCCATCTCTATTCATCACTACACCCATTTCCGTGTGCCTATATTTGGCATCGCACCAAAAATGGCCAAAATAACGGAAAGATCAACAAAGGAGCAAGAGGGAGAGAGGGAGAGAGGGAGCAGGTGAGTGGATTTAGTGACAATGACACTCCATGTTATCATGGAAACCGACCCCTTCCCACAATCTCTGCTTGCATTTTGGTCGCCGTGGCAACACAGTGACGACATCCTCAGCAGGTAAACAAGGATGCTTGTCGCCAGGGGCAACAACCATGTCCTTTTCGATAAACATGGGGGGGGGTGGGCTTAAAAAAACAGGGATGGGAGACGGAGAAGTGGTGCAAATGTTGAAGAAGGTGGAGGGAGGGAGGAAATACAGAAAAAAAGAGAGAGATGGATACAAAAAAGAAAGGTTATAGTGGTTCGTTTCATGCAGTACCGTGAAATAGATTCCCTCAAGCAAGAGAGGGAAAATGAAAATGAATTGTAATTTGCTCTCAAATTCAGCCTCCATTTCTCATTTACCTGATTCACTTCCGATACTCTCTCTCTCTCTCTCTCCCTCGCTCTCTCTTTCTCTCTCTCTCCCTCTCTTTCTCTCCCTCCCTCTCTCTCCCCCCTCCTTTTCGGTCACAGCCACACAGCAAACGCCCGTCTTCCCATGATCCTCTAGCTGCTCCCTCATCTCACACACTAAGTTAGCCATGTTTCACTCTTTTAAGAGTGATGCCTTTCCTCCCGTTTTCCTCTCTGGACAAATTACCTTCCAATTAGTGATGTTCCAGACGAGTCTTAATTATGGGAAACCATCTGCACACAGGCACACACACAGAGCACATAAACGTGGACTTGTGGGACTGAACCCACACAACAAGGCACACATTTAGCCACGCCCAGTCACAGGCTCCCACTGCCACCACACCGCTCAGGGAAGAAGGTGGAGTTTTACCATTTACCTCCAGTATACACACGCACACGCGCACACACACACGTACACAGACACACACACACACACACACACACACACACACAAACACACGCACACAGAGTTAATCTCAGTCCCCACAGTAATGCTGAAAGGATTTCACAAGGATTATGGGATATTAAAGCCTTGGATTATCCAATCAAATCACATTCTATTCCCCTCCCCCCAGCCTCACAGCCCCGCTGTGGTCCCATAGTGACACACCGGGGGGGGGGGGGGAGTTGGGTGGGTGCTGAGGGGGGCTGGGCTTGCAGGACAGTGTGAGGCATCACACCGTCACTTGGATGCACACTCCAATAAAACACTAGATATCCAAAAGGACCAAAAGCCTTCCATCAGTTTAAACAATTCAGCATTGATTTGACTGAACATCTTGTGCGTGTTAAAGGACCATTTACGCTGTCCCCCTCTTCCCTTCCCTAGACAAAAATTGATAATGGCATGACATTTGCTTTTCTCTCTTGTGCTCAGAGACGCCACACCATCATCCACATGGCTCTGATGCTTTGGAGCGAGTCGAAGGGAACTCATCGACAGGGGAAGGCGCGTTCAAAAAGCACAGCGACCATTCCGATCTTCCATCCCTTTCACACTGTGTTAGTCACCGCATCACGCAGGTTACCTAGCAACCTAGCATCTCTCATTCCACCGTTTCTTAGCAACAAGACCTGCCACCAGACCCAACCTCCCAACCCTCCTCCCCCCGCCCCTCGCCCTTTCATTCCCTCTACACCACACACACCTGGGAAGTGCCCTTCCCTCTTCACAGCTCAGACGCGGCCGGCCACCTTTGTCTCCGTCTAAAGAGAGTGTCGGCCTGCCCGCGGCCCCTCTCCACCTGAGATCACACATCGGTATTCAGGCCTGCCCGTCTGTCTGTACCAACTGCTCAGTAATTGTTGTTTTGCATTTGCATCCCATCTCGCGCCGTTCAGGTGTCTGGTTGCCGGAATAATTAATTCAAACAGAACAGCGACGTGGCCTGAGGCCGACGGAGCCCAGCAGGGGGCAGCGAAACCAGCAACTGGCGGGGGGGTGGCACCCATTACACTGCAAAGCCGACTCCGAATGCACCTGCAGGATAAAGTACGCGTCCCTCTGTGTCATTCTGGGTGGCATTTAACTGGCGAGGTCGTCGTCGAGCTCTGCTGGTCTCAAAAGTTGGATCGACGTCAATCACTAGGGTGTAGCTACAGGTATCCTGACCCCCCCCCCCACCCTCACACTCCAGATTTTGCAGGTCTTTGCAAAACCTCCTTCTGTTGACACACAAACTGAACCCCCCCTGCCTCAGGATTCACGTGCCAGCGCCTCTAGTTGGACAGCGGCGGCCTCCATTAACATATTTACTTTTTAATTCCCCCCCCCCCCCGTCCTGGTGTTGTGATCCAAAAGGTAACCTTGTAAAACAGATTTTCATTTGCAGTATGAGCTAAGAAGGTGACCCCCCCCATGCTACACCTTCCTTGGCCTAGTGCAAAATAGCTGGGAACCCCTCCCCCCCCCACCAGATGTCTCTATTTAAGCTGACAGACTTCCGCTCTGACCCCCTACCCCTCCTTCGGCGCAACTCATTATGTCAAACTTTTGTTCAGCACCCCCACCCTCTCCCCCAGCCCCCCCTCCTCCCTATTCATCCCCCCTCCCCCATTTCATTCAGCAGATTTCCCAAACGCTCATGCACTTGCCCCGACCCCCCCTGCCCCCGCCCCTAAATCACCCATTCTTACTACCACCTCCAACCCCCATTCCATTTGAAATATTCTTCCTCAATGCGTGCCTGGATGCAGAGGGCAGGGCCTGAAGGCGACGGGATCGAGGCACCTGTTTCCCTGCACCTGAAGGTATTACCAGAAACACCAGGACAGCGCCCCCTTTTGGTCCGTTGCGGTTATTCACGCCTCAAAGCCCACCCAGTGTTCGCTAGTGGATCCTAATTGCATCCCTGAGGATCTGGCATTTCAGATGCACTCGACCCTCACCCTCCTATCTCTTCTTGGTTCTACACCTGTCGTTTCAGTCCCCCCCCCCCACCACCACCAAAGCACACACACAAACACACAAGCAGCTGTAAATAGAGCGGGTGGCAGAGAAGGGCAGCAGGAAGGGAGACCGAGGCTGTATGATGTAGAAATTTACCTTAAACAACAGAAGCTGTACTTTTGCTGATGGGTGCTCTATCACCTGCCCCCTCCCCCAACAGGGAGTCCCCCTCCCCATTCAGCACTCCCAGTGAAGGCTCCCCACATAGATGGAGTAAGACCTGGTGCCCTGCCTACAGCAAAGCCACAGACCCCCCACCCTCGGGCAGAGCTGTCTGCCCCCCCTCCCCCCCCCACACACTGGGCCAGCTGGTTCCTGAGACCTACAAGAAGGGGCAGCCTGGGACGATCTTTTCACAGACCACGATGTGGGCCTGGCATCCTCAAAGCGGGGGTGTCGGGACAGGCTAATGCGGGGGAGGGGGTGGGGGCAGGCATATGCCAGGCAGGGCCGCGACCGGCGGAGGGACAGAGCTGCGGAAATGGGAGGCTCTCGCCCCCTGCTGCCCCTGCAGGCCATCCCCCGCTCCTGCGGCCTTCTCCGTCTCTATTAATTATCTTTATTACTGTTTTATGACTCTGTCCACAGGGGGCGCCGTCCCCCCCTCCCCCCTGCCCCCTTGGCTCTCACACAGTCCATGTTTAAAAGCAACCCGGCGAAGGACGAGGAACCGGGAATTTAAATGCCAAGGGGAAGGAAGATCAAGGGGAGCGATATGGGAGGGTGCCGGGAAGCAGGCAGGGGAAGCAGCAATATGCGGGAATACGCCGGAAGCCAAAGGGCAGCCCCTGAAAGACTGGGGTATAAACCTGGTGCCTGCCGGTAACAGGACAAACGGGGCAGGCAGGTTTCTGTACAGGCGGCAGAGGCAACCTGGATTCTATCGGGACCCCACAGTAATGAGCAGCGAAATGGAAACTGAGTTCAGTGATGGGTAAAGAAAGAGAGTCAGAGCGGGAGATAGGGAGGAGTGCAAGGGGGCGATGGCAGCGATAAGGGCAGGGGATGGTGATTCAGACTCTTGTTTACTCGGCTTTTCAGTTTATTAGTCCCCCCCCCCCCCACGATCTCTCTGTCCCTTTCAGCTGAGATTAAACACACGGCCGAGCAAGGCGCTGATAAGACCATCTGTTCAACCTCTCTCCTTCCTGCCTATCTGCGTGCAGGCAGCCCGCCCAGACAGACACGCACACGCCAGCCCCCAGTCCCTGCTCAGCACCGCACCGCCCCCCCCCCCCCCCCCCCCCCCAACCCCCCACTCCTGCCCTCCACACCCCGATCCAGGTACACCCGCTCAGCGGCGGGGCGTCTCCCAGAACCCCCAGGACCCGGGACCGCACTTCCCTCACCTGTGGAGAGAGGGCGCCACATCCACAGGATTTTAACATGAGTGTTAACAACCGTAACTGGGACCATCGCCGTGGCCAGCCATTCAGTGGCTTGCGCTGCTGTGATTACGGCTGCTAATTAGGAATGACCCCCCCCCCCCCACCATCACACTGCCCACCCCCCTTCAGCTCTCCCCCCTGCCAGATGCCCGGAGAAGAAGCTTGACCGTGGGATGAGACTGAGTGCAAATAATCTGGCGGGGGTGGGGGGGGTATAGAAAAGGTGGAGAAGGGGAGGAGAAGAGGTGAGACAGTTGGGAGGTGGGATCTAATGAAGGGGGGGGGCACACCTGGTAATGAGGACTTATGTGGGAATTTCGAGAAAGAAAAAAGGTTTGAGGAGTGGCTCAGGGCCACGAGGTGAAAAGGGAGGTGTTTCCCTGGGGGGGGGCGGGGGGGGGAATTCGGGATGGGGCATTGCGATAACGAATCACAGAGGAGCATTTGTGAGCATGTGAGGAATTAAAGTTAAATTTAAAAAATACTACAGCTTAACCGGAGATCAATACAGGCGTCCAGTTGGGGAGTGAAATATGCAGATGAAGGGAAGTACGGCCAAGGCGGAGGCCAGCGTGTGCAAATT